AAGAAAAGAGACTGTTTTTACTGTCATTTGAAAAGTAATGAAAAATACTGTAATTTTGAATTAAACTCTTGCAGTGTTCTGAAAATTTTACACTATAGCAATGTAAGTGTAATGCAAAAAAGAAAAAGGCTTTATATTAAAGTTTCTCATTTTCCTAAACCTAGGATGGTAAGCGGATGTTTGGCACCTATTTTCGTGTTGGTTTTTATGGAACCAAGTTCGGGGATTTGGATGAACAGGAGTTTGTTTACAAGGAGCCTGCAATAACCAAACTTGCAGAAATATCTCACAGATTAGAGGTGAATCCTGTGGTGGTTCATAAAAATCTCTCTCTCTTTTTTTTTCTTCTTGTATTCCTGGCCTTGTCCTTGCCTAGTTTAGGTACCAGGGTTATAATACTCTATTATGATTTGGGGAGCATTTTTAAATGTATTTAGATAAGTAGCTCCCTAATGATGGAATTCAGTTCTAGAACTATCTGGGCCTGAAGGAGAAATTAATTGAATAAAAAATAAAATGTCATTGTTGATTTGTATTTTCTATAATAGACTTTCAGATCCAGATGTAATCACTTAAGTAAGCCAGGTCCTTCCAAATAAACTACTTGTTTAGCATATAGGATTTTTGATAGGTACATTAATACCCTTTCAAATCCTACAAATACTATATGGCAACAGCAAAATTATATTAGTAACTATATTTTTAAAGGTATTTTCACATATATTTTAGAAACTCATATCCTTCAGATTACCGTGATTTGTGGAGAAATGTTTAGATTTTTGACATTTTGCAGGAATTAAGTAGCAGCAAGTAATGGAACTGGAAGCCTGAATCCCAGGAAAATCCTGAACCAAGTGTATTATCTCTTTGGCGTAACTAGTTCCCAGTGAGACATCTTTAGAACTTAAATGCCTGAAGTCATACCTTAAAAACACTTCTTAGAATCTCTTCCTATCATAAATTGTTTTACATGTTTATTGGGTTAACCAATTTTTTGTGTTATAATTATTCTTTCCATCCTATCTCTTATTACTTAAGGTGTAGTCCATGGATGAGATTTATTAGCATCACCTGGGAGATGATTTAAAATGTACTCTCAGACCCCATCTCAAACCTTTTGAATCAAAAATCTGCATTTTAAAAAGATCCCCAGGTAATTTGTACTCATAACAGGTTGAAAAGGGCTCTAGGCTTGTTTTTCTCAGCTGATGCTAATTCTTAAATGTTGCATTCTTATTTATGATTTCGTTGGGCTCAACTTTTATAAACTGGTTCAAACTTTGACTTTTTATTTTATTTCTCAAGAGCTAGATAAGTCTTGGGAAATATTGAAGCCTGTGTTTCCAAATTTAACCATAAAAATTACCTTTGGGGTAGGTATGAGAGTTTTTTCCTTTGTCTTTTGACAATTAAGATTGGGTTTTGCAGGGTTTTTTTGTTTTTGTTTTTTGTTTTTTGAGACAGCATCTCCCTATGTAGCCCAGACTAGCCTCAATTCTCACCCTCCTGCCTCTTCCTCTAGAGTGCTGGGATTAAAGATGGTGCCACCACACCCAGCGTCCTTTTTCCTTTTGAATATTCCATCCATTGCACATGCAAAAGTCACTATTCTTGATTCAGGGTTGCTTTTTGAAAAATCTAAATCTGTACTAAACCTCAACTTTTATTTGAAAATTCTGGAATGTTACTTTAAATCATTCATAAAAATGAATGTTTATTCACTGACTCAGTGGTCTGTAAGAAATTTGATCACATCAAAAAAGCTGGGTGCTGGTGGCTTACTTCTGTAATCCTAGCTATTCTGGCAGTTCAAACCCAGCCTGGGCATTCGAATAGTTTGCGAGACCCTATCTCAAAAAAATTCATCACAAAAAAGGATTGGTGGAGTGGCTCAAGATATAGGCCCTGAGTTGAAGCCCCAGTACCACAAAAAAAAAAAGAAAGAAAGAAAAAAAAAATTAGGCTACACCAAAATCAAAAGTAAGATATCCTATATGTCAAAGATGATGACTTTCTTTTGTCTTTGTATTCACTTCCCTTTTTGTTTCTCTTGAGGATCCATTGTGGAATCCTGTAGTTTTGCTGAAGAAAATTATTTTCTTTTGTGTCATTTAATTGCATAAATGGAAATAATATCAGATAAATATTTAAATAATTATTTTGTCATAATTGACATAGTTGTAACAACTTACTAAATTCCCCAATTTTGTCCAGGATTCTCCCTCAGAGGTCTCCTCTTTTTACTAATCCTGTTAGCTTCATGTGAAAGATTTCTTTTTCTTTATTGTAGGGATTTTATGGAGAAAGATTTGGAGAGGATGTGGTTGAAGTAATCAAGGACTCTAATCCTGTAGACAAGTGTAAATTAGATCCTAACAAGGTAGGTTAATTAGACTATAATGCCATATAGTCATGTCTTTGAGATCTATGCAGTTTTGTTTCAGAAACACTAAGTGATTTAACAGTGAAAAAATGAAGGACTTCTTCCTTTTCCAGGCATACATTCAGATTACCTATGTGGAGCCATACTTTGACACATACGAGATGAAGGACAGAATCACATATTTTGACAAAAATTACAACCTTCGCCGTTTCATGTACTGCACACCCTTCACTTTAGATGGTCGCGCCCATGGTGAACTCCATGAACAATTCAAACGGAAGACCATTTTAACTACTTCTCATGCCTTTCCTTATATTAAAACAAGGGTCAATGTCACTCACAAAGAAGAGGTAAGGTTATAAATGGGGAAAAGCAATTGGTGAAACAAATGCACTCAAGCCTTGAAATAACAATGTAGACTATCAGAAGACATGTGCCATCTTTCACATAGAACATACTAGGTGGGACTTTGCCCATTTTTGAATCATTCGTCTTTGTCTTTTCCAAGTCCCTAATTTGTCCTCAGTTTGTGCTTTAAAACGTGTTTATTAGTTTCATTATTTGTTAATTTAGGGATCCAAGTTTGGAATTTTATTGTTACATAAGAACTAGCAATCAGTCCCCATTTTTTTCTGGTTTTAATTATTATTTCATTAAAGTTCATTGAATAGGTTTCATTTAGTACACTGACCTAATAATTGCTGTTTTACTTAGATAATCTTAACACCAATTGAAGTTGCTATTGAAGACATGCAGAAAAAGACACAGGAATTGGCATTTGCAACACATCAGGATCCAGCAGACCCCAAAATGCTTCAGATGGTACTCCAGGGATCTGTAGGTACAACTGTGAATCAGGTTAGTGCTTTTTGTTAGCACTGTGTAACAAAAGACACTGACGTAGAAAAGAAGACAAGTTTAGTATAATCTTAGTCATTAAAGGAGGGTAGGTATATCCTTGCTCCCCCATAAAGAGCATTTTCCCCTAGATTACAATTTAACTATAAAATGTTGTGGGTTTTTGTGTTTTGGTGGTATTCAGGTCATTACACTCGCTAAGCAGGTGTTCTACCTGCCTTCTCTGTTGTCTATGTTTTTCTACCTATTCTTATACATTATATTAGGAATGAATTGAGTCACTTAAAATGCCCTTTCCTTAAAAAGCTGTACTGTAAGAACATAATCCATAAAAGGAGGACTCATTTTCAGAGCTATGTGTTCACATACATGTGAACCTCTACTATCTTAGATTCTTGCTGATGCTATTTTCTCCAGATCTTTTTCATAATAAGGTCTAAGGATTAAGTAAGTGATGTAGAATAATTTTGAAAAATTTAATAATATATATATAAGATAGTACTGTTGTGTTGTCATACGTATATCAAAGGACATTGCCATTATCAAAAAAATGAGTGAGACAGTCTCTCAAAGGCAAGCTGGGCATGATGATATATGCTGTAATTCCAGATACTTGGGAGGTGAGGGTAGGAGAATTGTGGTTCAAGCCTGTCCTGGGCAAAAGTTGTAAGACCCTATCTGAAAATGAAGCTAACAAGCAAAAAACGCTAGGGGTGTAGCTCAAGTGGTAGAGTATGATCAAGCTCAGGGCCCTGAGTTCAGTCCCCAGTACGATAAATAGATGATTGATAGATACACACATACATAGATAAGATATATACATACACACACGCATACATACATAACATAGACAAACATAGATACATGCATACATACATACATATATACATAGATCGATTCGCTGCCATCTGTCCTTGTAGTTGGTTCACTCAGATTCTGTTGTTGGTTGTTTTGGGCATGACCCTGATCTTAAGGAATTTTCCCAGGTATGGGAAAATACAAAAAACATTCAAGTCTGATTTTATGTAGTATGTCTCAACTACTTTTCAAATTAAAGGAGCAAAGCCAAAAAAAAGAAAAAAGCTCTGCTAAAACTGAAATAAATACAACTTTTATCCTCGTAAATCATACATGATTTTGAGGTTTTACCTTCAAATAATATAATTTATAAAAGACCATCTTCTTTATAGTATTAGGAATACCTTCCAAATGTTGAGAGAAGTTGTTTTAGCAAAATCAATTAATAATCAGTGGGTTGGGAGACGTAGCAGCTTGACAATGTACATCCAGGATAAAGGCAAACTGCACCTACAAACACAGCAGCTAGTCCTTGAGCTCCTACTGTGTTTCTTTGAAGAAGGAACTAGTACTTTACTAGGTAAGAATGTAGTTTGCCATTAGGGAAATCTGAAATAGTCTGTCTCTGATGCGTTTTCATAAAGGATTTGTTTAAGCTTAAATACTTCATCTTAGGGCTATGATCATTTGTATAAATCCTATGTCTGTGAGATTAAGGACGCAAAAATACACTTCCTGTTTTCTTATTTTTCAGGGGCCTCTGGAAGTCGCCCAGGTTTTCCTATCTGAAATACCCAGTGATCCAAAACTCTTCAGACATCATAATAAACTGCGACTCTGCTTTAAAGATTTTACTAAAAGGTAATCAAGGCTTCCTGTATAAAGGTCTTCAAATTAAGAATGTCTAGCACCACAGTATGAACTAAGGAATATTTAAGGAACTATTGAAATGAGAAAATTTAGGGAAGTGGTTCACAACAAGGAATACACTGCACAGAATTTACTGTTCTTCAATAGCATACACTCAAGTCCCACCACACTCTATGAGTCATCTTTTTTTTTTAATGCTAAAGATTAGGGAATTTGAGGGTCAACAACTTGAAACTGTTGTTATATTATTTAACTTGAAAGCTGCTACTTATTGTGAATCTTCAATACACAAGTTTCTGTTTCCTTCTTTCAAGGAACTTATAATAGGAAGCTTGAAAGCAACAGATGTTCAAATCCTGACCTTATCAATGTGTGTCCTTTTCCAGGTCACTCATCTTTATGACCCTCAGTTTTCTAAACTGTAAAGTAGGAGATTGATGTCCCCAACTCATAGAGGTTGTACAAATTAGGTGAAGTAAGACATAGGTGTAACAGTGGTCTCAAGACCATCTCAACTTCAGTGATTTGTTAGAGCTTACAGGACTGTGTGCAGCTGTGATTCATTGCACTGGAAAGGGAAAAGCGTTTGTGGTGTCCTCTGACAGTTGAGTCACAGTGTGTGCTTCATTCCTTCAGCAGTGAGTTATGACAGCACCTGGGAAATACTGTCCACCAGGTAACCTCATTAGAGACTCAGTGCCAAATGTTTTTATTGGTTACGTGGGCCGCCCTCTCCCTCATTGTGTACTAAAATTCCAGACTAATATCAGGCACAGTGAGCCACTCTTATCTCCCGGGAATGATAGGAATCCTCACAAAATACAAATTCCAAGAGGCTAACCAAACACCAGCTTTGCAGTCAGACCCCGTTTCTAAGGATAGGAGTTACAAGTGCATAACCTTAACTCTTCAGCACAGAAAAAATATTTTTAGGCTACTACTTAGCACATAAGTACATAGTAAATAATGAATTTTGAAACATTGGGGAAACGTGGTCATTTATAAACTTAATACTGAATTCCTGATTTAGTAACACTGTAATTACAAAATAATGAGTGATTAATTCAACTTGGCAATGTCAGGGAATATTCCATACATCTGATATGGACCATGGAGGGTGCATACTAGTTTTTTGGGCAGAAAAGATGGGGAAGGGTATACCAAAAAGGAAAAACAAAAAAATGTGAGCAAAATTCAAGATATTTCTGGGAATGGTAAGTAGTCCAATGAAGCTGAAACTATAGAATCTATGAAAATGAGTAGTCTTAGAAAACACTGGGAGCTATGTGTTGTGATACACACCTGTAATCCCAGCTACATGGGAGGCAGAGGTAGGAGGATCATGGTCTGAGGCCAGCCCAGGTAAAAGCACCAGACCCTATCTGAAAAAAGTTTCTGTAAGAGCCTTGTGTACATCAAGGGACTTGAGTGTTATCTAACAAAACAACATCAGAACTATAGTCAGAATCCAGCCTTTGACTTCCTGTTATGGTTTCTCTTATCAACTCATTCATTGAGTAGGTTTATTAAGGGTATTAAGATCAAATGCTTTTGTAACCAGTAAATATGGGTAGTGCATAATAAGTAGTTTGAAATGATACCTCCTTTGTTCTCCTTGAATTTAGCTATTACAAATTGGTCTCAATTTCTTCTTCCTGAACATGATAAACATCTAAAAGAAAACTTCAAAAAGTTAATCAAATGTCTGAAATTTTATGTTCTTAAAATTTACTTTTTAACAGATACATAAAAATAGTGCTGCATAAACATGGGACAGATGTATCTTTGAGGCTGATCTCATTTCCTTTGTAAATATACACAGGAGTGGGATTGCTGGATCACATGGTAGTTCTATTTATATTTTTTATTTTTTGAGGGGCCTCCATACTGTTTTTCCGTAATGACTGTACAAATCTACATTCCCACTAATGGTGTATAAAGATTTCTTTTTCTCTCCAGCACTTGTTCTCTTTTCTCTTTTTGATACTACCCAATCTTAGTGGGGTAAAGTGTTATCCCATTTTGGTTTTGATTTGCATTTCTCAAATGATTGGTGATGAGTATTTTTCATATATTTGATAGCTACTGTTATATATTTTGAGATAAACATTTAGGTCTGTTGTCAATTTTTAAATCAGGTATTTGGTTTTTTGCTTTTGAGTCCTTACTGATTCTGGATATTAACCCCAACTCAGATACAAAGTTTGTACCCATTTTCTCCTACCTATTCTGTGGGTTGTCCTTACACTCTGTTGATTGATTCCTTTACTATGAAGTTTTTAAGTTTGATGTAATTCTATGGTTATTAGACTAGGTGGGCTCATAGAACTGGTGTTCCTAATATGTGCAACAGATGACCTATCATAGTGGAGGAAAGAATCCTGTTTCCTACTGATTTCTAACATTTACTTTAGTATTTAGGTGGTTTAGAACAACAGCAAAGTAAATTCTGCTGTCATTGTGATCCAGGTGATCATGAAACAATATAGACTCCATTGGACCATAATCAATCAGGTGCCTGTTTTTCTTTTTTGGAGAGACTGGGTTCTAACTCAGGGCTTTGCACTTGCTAATCAGGTGCTCTATCGCTTGAGCTATGTCCATCTCTCAGCTCTCAGGTGCCTTTTATTCTTGCTATTGTTTTGGAATATTTTACCATAACTGCAATTCTAAACAAATCTCTTCTTTGAATGTACTCACTTTACAATAATGAGCTCCTGTTATCAGCAGATCTCTTTAAGTATTACTGCCTGGAGAGAGAGTTTCCTCCTCTTAAATTACAAAAAAAAGGGAGGAGAAAATCTATATAACATAAACCCTATTTTAAAAGTTATAGTCAATACTACGTTTTAAATATTTTTTTAGGGTTGGGGGTGTGGCTCAAGTGGTAGAGCATTTGCCTAGCAAGCACAAAGCCCTGAGTTCAAACCCCATACTGCCAAAAAAAAAAAAAGAAAACTTGGTCATTGATTTTTTTATGCCAATATACACATGTTTTACTATAATCAATAATAATATGCATATAGTCTTCAATTCTTACTTTCATTTAAAGTTGAAATCATTCTAATGGTTCCATTGTTTCTCCAAATTTTCATATTCCTAATTTTTAATTTAATTTGAATTCAAAGTTGTATAGTTTACACAATAGATTTTCTTTTTTTTTTAATTAAAATTTTCATCATGAAATTACTTAACCAAAGTGCATGAACATTATTTTTTTTGGCAGTACTGGTGTTTGAACTGAGGGCCTCACACTTGCTAGACAAGTACTGTACCCCTTGAGTCACACTCCCAGCCTTTTAAAATTCAGTTTATTTTTTAGGCAGGGAGGGTCTCAAGCTTTATGCTTTCAGTTTTTCTCCATTAAGTATAATGCTGGCTGTAGGTTTGTCATATATAGCTTTTATAATGTTGAGGTACTTTCCTTCTGTTCCTAGTTTTCTTAGAGCTTTTATCATGAACTGGTGTTGGATCTTATCAAAGGCTTTTTCTGCATCTATTGAGATGATCAAGTGGTTTTTGTCTTTGCTTCTGTTAATGTGGTTTATTACGTTTATTGATATTCGTATGTTGAACCACCCCTGCATCCCTGGGATGAAGCCTACTTGGTCGTGGTGAATGATCTTTTTGATGTGTTGTTGAATTCGGTTTGCCATTATTTTGTTGAGGATTTTTGCGTCAATGTTCATTAAGGAGATTGGCCTATTGTTCTCCTTTTTGGAGGTGTCTTTGCCTGGTTTTGGGATAAGTGTAATACTGGCTTCATAAAATGTGTTTGGCAGTTTTCCTTTCCTTTCTATTTTGTGGAACAGTTTAAGGAGTGTTGGCATCAGTTCTTCTTTAAAGATCTAATAGAATTCAGCAGAGAATCCATCAGGTCCTGGACTTTTCTTTTTAGGGAGATTCTTGATTCCTCCTTCAATTTCATTTTGTGTTATAGATCTATTCAGGTGATTAATGTCCTCTTGGTTCAGTTTTGGATGATCATAAGTATCTAGAAATCCTTTTTAATCCATTTTGTCAAACAGTGCGTTTTGGTGGGGGAATTAAGTCCATTAACATTAAGTGTTAGTACTGATAGGTATGTGGTGATTCCTGTCATTTAGTTGTCTTAGTTGGTTGAGGGTTTGATTGTGTATACCTAAGTTGAGGTTACTCTCTACTTTCTTGCTTTTTCTTTTCCTGTAGTTTGGTGCTACCTGCCCTTTCATGGTTATGTTGGGTTTCACTTTCTGTGCGCAGAATCCCTTGAAGAATCCTTTGTACTGGTGGCTTGGTGGTCACATATTGTTTTAGTTTCTGCTTATCATGGAAGATTTTTATTGCTCCATCTATTTTGAGTGATAGTTTTGCTGGGTAGAGCATCCTGGGGTTGAAGCTATTTTCGTTCAGTGCCCGGAAGATCTCACCCCGAGCTCTTCTTGCTTTTAATGTTTCTCTTGAGAAGTCTGCTGTGATTTTGATGGGTTTACCTTTGTATATTATTTGTTTTTTCTCTCTTACAGCCTTCAATATTCTTTCTCTAGTCTCTGTACTTATTGTTTTAATGATAATATGTCGTGGGGTAGTTCTATTTCGGTCAGGTCTGTTTGGAGTTCTGGAGGCTTCCTGTCCCTGTATTGGCATAATTTTCTCTAGATTTGGGAAATTTTCTGTAATTATTTTGTTGAATATATTACTCATTCCTTTTTCTTGAACCTCTTCTCCTTCAATACACACGATTCTCAGGTTTGGTCTTTTGATGGAGTCAGTAAGTTCTTGCATTTTCTTTTCACAGCTCTTGAGTTGTTGAACTAATCGTTCTTCGGTTTTTCCTTTAATTACCATTTCATCTTCGAGTTCTGAGATTCTGTCTTCTGCTTGTTGTATTCTGGATTGGCCTTCCATTTTGTTTTGCATTTCTGTTTTGTTCTTTTTTCTGAGGTTTTCCATATCCTGAGTCGCTTCCTCTTTAATATTGTCTATTTTCATCCTGAGTTCATTTATCACTT